AAAAAGTGGCCTCCGTGAAGGGCGAGGATGGTGTCTTTAAAAAAAAATAAAAACGCTTTAGATATTGATGACTAATCAATGCGATAAAAATAAATATAAATAATAGTAATACAAATAAACATGCGCCTGTGAAAGATCCTCAACATCCCTCGATGATGACCCATAACTCAGTCGGCGCCCACTATGCACGTCTCGTGTCGGACGATCATCAGCAACTGTCGATGGCTCTGGGGGACCAGAAAAATACTTATCCCACTCCTGTTGCATAATGGTCGTGCCCGCGATCAACAATGGAGCTGATGGGGTCACCTGCGAAGTCTCAGATGTTAGATGAAGGCTGAATGACGGCATATCATGAGGAGCATCGTCTAGCTCAGGGTGGTCACCCGGCTGATCAACTCCAAAATCCTCAACAGGTGGCCTAACGCCCCCTTGCTGGGGATCAAGTCCCCGCCGACCACCACGACCTCGTGGGACACCTCTTTCTCTCTGGGCACGCCTTCCACGTTGACCACGTTCAGGCTTCACTACTGGCCCACGATGGTACTGCTCTGGCGGCAGATAATCAGCCTCATGTCCTAAGCGCTCGTCATCTCGGTCTCGCCTCAATGTACGGGAAGACAGATCTATAACCTGGTGGCCATACTCGTGCAAAGCGGCCGCTCCCTCGCCGGTATGCTACTGCATCTGTAGCCCCAACTGGCAGAATAGATGTAAGCCAATAGCCTGCACAACATGTAAAATATTAATTACGGAACGTTTGGTTAATGTTATAAGTAAGTATAACAAATAACATACCAGTGCCTCATGCCTCCCCGCGTATGGAATATACCGACCACCGGCGCGATGAACGGGATTTCCGATGAAAAGTCGGGTAACGCTGCGGTACCAGACCATATACTCATGCTCACCATCTGTACGCTCTGGTGGAGGGGGTGGCGGAATCAGGTCATGTCGACTGTCCTAAATATCAATTTGCGCCTCTATCCAGGCCATGTATGTCTGGTCAACCTTGGAACGATCATCCCGCTGGTAATGTGTCCTAAGCCAAGCGGGCGGAGTAGGTACAAGCTAGGGTCGACCAAACTAGCGAAGGACTCGCTCAGTGGCATGATGCTCGACAATATTGAGACACATCAACGGGACGGAAGAGCTCCGCATAAGTCGGTCGGTCGAGCAACAATCGGGCAAACCAGCTATTAGCTCGTGGTTGTATGGCCTTCAAATGAACTATTAAGCAAAAACAAGAATCGTGAGTATACACAATATATATAAAGTCAAACCAAGTAAACTTAAGTATACATGTACCTGCGTGCCCTCCAGCAAATCCAACAAATCCCTGCAATAGGGTAGATTATGTCGAGCCTCGACCTCGCGTCCGTAGCCTCGCCTATCAACCCACCTCCTAGCTAAAGGGAGAAACGGTGGAGGTGGTGCATCCGGAGCGATGGGTGGTAGAGGTGGCTGTAATTGCAGGAACCGCTCCTAGGCCCAAACCTAATATACAATGTGGACGTAACATTTAAGGTATATTTTTACTATGTATGTTATAATTATGAAAATAATTGACTATGTTTTCACCTGCAGCAACGGCAAAACCCCGGCAACATCTCGCTGGGTGCCCATGCTCGCCCGGCACATCTGCCTATACAAGAAACCAAGAACAGCTGCACCCCAGCTGTAACCAGGTTCTAGCCGCTCAAGATGATGAAGAGATCTCAAGCTGACTAGGTTTTCCAAAGTGTTCGATAACAATACCCCTCCAAACATAAGAAGCATCAACAATCTCGTGTACCGGTTAATATGAAGATCTGGTGTATCATCTATAATGTCTGCATGCATCCAGATGCAGCCGGACGGGCGTCAACTGCAGACGACTAGCCCCAACCAATGCAGCCTCCTCCGCTGGCTGGAAACCGGTGAGCCGCTGTAACATCTCTAGTTACTGCAATCTCGTATAATCTCTGAGAGCATGCGGTAAAGCTACAAGATGTCCATCAACCGTCAACCCATACAGAGCCTCCACGTCCTGAAGCGTGATAATAGCCTCGCCAATGGGTAAATGAAATGTGTTCGTCTCCGGTCGCCAACACTCTATCAAAGTCATGATCAACAACCAATCCAGCTGCAACCGCCCGATCTCAATAATCCTATAGAAACCTGTATCCTGAAGCCATCTGACTTACGGGGATGAAGATGGTGGGCCCTAAGAAAGTCTCACATATCGTCTACTTGTCTAGCACGGAACGTCTGGGCCAATAACTTCCCCTCCCATATGTACGAAAACCTATACTCGGCTTGTAGCAACAGTAGCTCTAGCGTGATAGGTCCGGGATGCACAGGCGGAACCTCCCTGACGACTACTGTAAATTGAAAAATATTAATTAAAGTATTTTTCTTTTTCATTGCTTAACATCTTTAATATTTTATATGTTAGTTTACTATTTAATATGTTTGTTTCTTATTTTATATGTTAGTTTATTGTGTTATATGTTAGTTTATTTTATTATTTTATATGCTAGTTTATTATTTTATATGTTTGTTTGTTACTCACCTATTTTTGACTATAATAAAATTAAATAATTAATTTTCATAACTATACAGGATTTAATTATTAAATATTCATATAACAATACTTAGTGTGAGTCCAAATGAATCACATTTTGGTTTCAGACTCGATATTTGAGGCCCAGTTGCACCAAGGTATTCAATGTTCTTGTGTTCATGATGAGAAAATTTCCCCAATTTATCACTCAACAGGTCTGTTATTTTATATGTTAGTTTATTATTTTATATGTTTGTTTGTTACTCACCTATTTTTGACTATAATAAAATTAAATAATTAATTTTCATAACTATACATGATTTAATTATTAAATATTCATATAACAATACTTAGTTTGACAAATATTGTTATTTACTAGTGTTATTTTCTTATGTTTGTTGACTAGAATTCGAGAGAGTTTGTGTTTGAACTATCAACTTTTTTCAGATATTTTTGGGTTTAACAGATAATTAAATGATTAATTTCAATAACTACAAAGAGACTACGCTAAAGGCACTACATTACAAATATGAGCACTACATTAGGGCACAAGATTTGGTAAATAAGGTCACATATTCATATATGTACAGCAATAACATCTAAATAAGGTTAATTATTCCTAAAATAACAATTTATATATTTTACTAGTCTTTTAACGAATAAATAATCTAAACCGGATAAAAACAATAAATTAATTTAATCACAAAATAATAACGAAAAAACATATACCACAATAAAAATTAACTAATTAACATTTTTTCTAACATCTAATAACAATTTCTCTATTTACTAATTTTTTTAGCACACTAATAATATAATCCGGATAAAAATAAAAAATTAATTAAATCGCAAAACAATCACGAAATAACATAGAGCACAATAAAAAATAACTAATAGGCATTTTTTATACATGAGTTTTAACAAAAACTAAGTCGGAATACCTCGATTTTAATTTTCTGAAAACTTGAAGATTTGGTGATTTAGAGCCGAAATGAGCAACCCACTACGAGATAGCGCCTTAGCTAGGATGTGGGACCAAGANGGGAGAGGGCTTCTGTTTTGTTTGGGAAAGAAGATGGTCGGCTTATGTGTAGGTATAGCGCACATATATAGAGCGCTATCGTACAACGCAGTACATATGTGCGCTATACTTTCCCGCCCATTTGAGTTCAAGTATAGCGCGGTATTTCACTGCGCTATACCTTAACGGACAAACATGTCTTTAAGGTATAGCGCGGTGAAATACCGCGTTATATATATTATGGTCCCCAAGTTTTTTTCCCACATATTTTGGTTCTTTGAGTCCAAAAGAACCACATTTTGGTTCCGGACTCTCCATATTATCCACTAAAAAATGGGCTGAATTATAAACTTTTTAAAAACGGGTCAAATATGGATAAGAACCATATTATCCACTTAGAAAATGGATAATCAATGAGTAACTAATCGGTTTAACTTTTACATTTGTAAAGACTCAAGTTTAGGATTCCTCAACCTTGAGAGACTAGGAATTGTACCAAAAGCTATCCGTATTAAATATGGGTCGGGTCGGATAATTTATTCGTTTTTGCATTACCCTTTTTGACTCGTTCATATTCCATCCGACCCTTTGCCACCCCTAGACTGAACCACATCATCTATAGCTTAAATCAGTGCCAGTGATAAACTTATTTCTTTATTTAAGGTTTCTAATCATTCAGGATATCCCCATACCAGGCCAATATAATAGCCAACTACTTACATAGAAAATGAACAAATAACAAGTTCGATGAAAGACGAAATAAACTGTTTCTTTCTTTTTCCTTTATTTGAGGTTACCGAGTACAAAGAAAGGTTAAGATTTCTGTGCAAAATTTCTGTTAGATTTGGGTGTGCCGACATTTCAACTTTGCTTAGGAAGAACGATGAAATTGGCACCATTGATTGCTATTTTCAACACGCAGTGCTATGTCCTCAGTTAATCTCTATTATTGTACTTCATTTAAGCTGACATAATTGACTTCGTTCTAAGTTCTGTACTTCTATCTCGGACAAGCCAAAGTCAAATGAGATTCAGCTCCAACGAAACATGAAAATCGCCAAAATGGCAACCTTGACGTGGAACAACTTGTGAGGACAATCGTGTAGTCAAAACATCGCACGACAAATATAATAGTTGTATCAACTAACAAATCTGAGGCATTAGCACCGAGTTTTGAAACGCAAAGAACACGAGAAAGTTACAAGAGAACAATTTTCTTTTCTCAGTTAATTGTCGGTAGACTGAAATTAAACTAATTCGCAGACGAATTTAGATGGGAGACAAGAATGAATGACTACGATCTTCTACGAAGGAATTTGTGTCCCGGACTTCGCGTGTTCATTTGATGTTCACAGTAACAAGAAGTGTGCAGCTTAATCAGAAAAAAACCAAAACTTGTCAAAAGACAGTGCTCCACTTCAATAGAATTAAACATTTGAAGGGTAAAAAGATGCTGAATCATGAACTACTGCTCGTTTAAGTTCAAAATATCAGTACATAACATGGACATTTCGACAAATACTTTTCTCCTAGTGCCTGTAAGCTCTGATTGACTATTTTAATTACATCCATACCACTAAAGGAGGATGAAGTATAAAAGGCAAAAGTTACAACAACATTTGAAGAAAAAAAATTACTTGTGCCTTTCAGCTTCGGGAAACAAATTCTACATCTAGATTACAAAAAGAGTAGATTTTGCCTTTTCTCCTATTGAACTTATTGTACATGTCAAGTAACTCTACTACAGTGATATCTACAAAAAGAATGTGTGCTCAAACGATACTGTCAAGAGATCAGCGTGTTGTTTTCAGAAAAGTAGTTTAAAGTTCATGGATCAGCAGATAGGTGTTCACAGACACAGGAGGCTATAGAACACCAGAGGTATGAACGCATTATCCAGCTGGGCAGTGTAGGCTTCCAACAGACCGCTTATTGTCACAGCGAAAAGAAGAGAAAACCAGTTCTGCACAATTGCCAATACAGCATCAAAACCAATCATAGAGTTAATACTTAATAGTGAGAATCTTAACAAAAGTTGGCTTTCATAGTTTTAAAAAAATCTGAGGTTGCGCCCTTCACTGATCTCAGTTCCTACTTTAATTCGAGGATTCAGCCCTAGGAGGGCATGAAATTGATATGGATTTAGATAATTAGGGGCCGCTGAGCAATTAAAATGAGGTTCATTATTCTTAAGGATAGGAGGTTAATTTTAAGGTGATCTCACATTATTTCAGTTGGAATAAATTCAAGCTGCATAACTGGAAATTGTATTGAAGGAAGGGCACATAATTTCCTTTCTCATTAATAAACGTGTACAAGAGCACTTTTTTTGGTCTGAACAGGATGCATGCAGAAAGCCCTTTGTACATGTGCTTGAGAGAGAGCTACCTGGTCTAAGATGTATCTAGATGTAGCTAGAAGTGGAAGTAGAATGGAACATGCAGCCAGGACAGATGTTATGCCAGCAGCAGTGCCTTCAATTGTCTTCTCTGCCGAAGAGAATTAATAGATTCAGATGGTGAGGGATACAAAAGAGCAATGACAAAACACGAAAGGGAACAGAGACATACTGCCAGTTTTGCTCCAGCGGAGGACCCCATACTTGTAGCCAACCACTGATGCCTGCATAGAGGATTAGCTTTAATCTTTACAGTGCATAAATGATAATCAATAATGAGCCACTAACCCTAAACTCATTCTCTACTACTCAGACTACCAATAGTGTTCCTCTCTTTACTATTGCAGTTAGTTTCCCCTGCAGAAGTGTTGTGCTCGCTTGGACTAAAGCCAAAACTTTATAAATCTTTCTTCATTGCAGATCGTTTATTGTTCTAGTCTTCTAGAACACCAATAAAGACGCAAGGTCTGCCGGCCACAAGGCCAACAGCAGGAAAACCTTCTACCAAGGGATCAGGGAACACCAATCCTGTTACATCAGTATAATCTTTTTCAATAAGTGATCCAGTGAAAAGACCTTTCCAGATATTGTCACTTCTCAAGCATGTTAGACTTTCTGCTGCATCATGCTAGAACCCTAAATTTCAGGAGTTCTTGGAAAGCATATTTAGACTAGTGCAGAGAGAAAGATATAGGACAAGCAAAGACTAGCAACTCTACCATTGTATCTCCAATTCCAAGGCTCAAGATCCCAGCGAAAGGGGCTAATGGTCGGTCATTGAAACCAGAGGACAACCAGATAGGAAGTGCACATCCTAATAAGAGTGAAAAATGGCTGAAAGAGGAAAGGAGGCAAATGGTTAGAGTTAACAAAATGCATATGCTGTAACTAGTTTTATGCTGTGGAGGAATCATTTCAAACCTGACAATAAGAAGATCAGTGTCACGATGATCTGTAAAGGCATTCATAAATTGGTGCACAAGGTGTCCCAAGGGCCAGATTCTCCATATCTGTCACAAAAGGCATGACAAATATCGTGAAGCATCATGTCAACTAGCATCATGAATAATTTAAGCATTGCCACAAATTATAAGGAGTTCACCAAGAACATAGGTAACAAAGAAAAAGAAAAATAACATTTTAACATGTTGCATTTACAAGTGTATATTACATACTTCCGTCTTAAAAGGTAAGTGCAACAATTTATTCAGACTATTACTGATTGATATTAAACACGTACAAGAAGTGTTTCATATCAAGAGTCAATATGAAGTGAACATAAGATACTTTGTAGTTGACGAGCTTGACTTCAGTTGAAAAGCGTGCTTAAACTTGACAAACATTTTGTTTCCTGTTTTTCTTTTTACAATTAATATTGGGAAATGTCCTTTTGGGGTTTTTTTTTTTTTTTT